ACTCTTTTTAAAAATAAACTTACAAAACCAATAAAACAACTCTTATTTACATTTATTTACTTGTGCAACAAAAGCACGTGGTTAGGTTTAGAAAAAAAAATCATCATGGTTTGGTGGCACGGTTGTGCAGTGGTTAGCACTGTTGCTTCACAGCAAGAGGGTTTCTGGTTTGAACCCAGGGTGGGGGAGCCCTTCTGTGCAGAGTCTGCATGTTCACCCTGGGTAAGCGTGGTAGTCCTGGTACTCCTGCTTCCTCAAATTGATGGCGTCCAGTGGTGTTATAAACTAATGCACCTTTTGGCCTCTAGTTTCGCAGACCGGGTGAGGCCAAGGTGCAGTGCACCTGCTGGAAGGCTTTAGCTCTGGAGATTGGTGGTGTAACATTTACCTGTGAATGCTGTACCCCAGTGCCCACAGAAGAGGAATACCTCTGTTGCAAGGAATGGGACCGGTTGCAACCTTACCTAAATGGTAAACAACAAACATGGCAGCACACCGGTAAGGTAAGACAACACGTTTACATGTCGTTTTCTATATGTTCTCTGACATTTATCCTAACGATATGAGGCGGTCTTCGTGGAGAAAAAGCTTGTTTAGTGGACTAACTTTGCACTTGAAAGGATGCCCGTTTAATTACGTTTTAACAGGTCTGACGCTACAGCATGCTAACTATTATTTCTATGTCACTAGTGACTTGAAACAAATTTAGGACGATAGAAGACGGGTTGAAATAAACCGAAATTTCCCTTTAATGAAAACCTGCATATATTTGCTAATTTTGGTGAAAACTGTTGATTTTCAAATCAGCAGTCCAATGTTTAGCTGACATTAAGACAAATTAAGTTGATGTCTTTCAAACTTGCAGTCTTTTATCAAAGATTTTATTCTTTTTTGTCTCTATCCTTCCACTGCAACTCAACAGGAAAACACTGTTCATGGAAACACAGAGAGAATTCTGACCTTATACATAGAGGTACATGCAATAACATACAATGGCATGGGAGAGTGGGTGCTGAAGGTGCTGAAGCACTCCCTATTGAAAAGAAGTGGAACAACACAGTCTGTAAATAGTTCGCTATTTCAACATAACTCACGTGCTATCTGAACATTGGTCCTACATTTTGAACAGCATATGTTAAGGTACCTGTCAAAAAAAAAAACATTTACAATGTACATATTTAATTAATTCCTGATCTAATGTGACATCATCACTTCAGGTCAAATAGCAAGGTTCAGTGTCAGCCCAGGGGGCATTGCAGAGAGATTTGTGGTACTGGGAGCCACTCAATGGTGCAAACAGGCTAAGAAAGACCAAAAATTTGCCAGGACAGTTTGATGCTGCTTTTTAGAGCCATAAAATGCATTGGATTCAAGGCACTTCCACTGCAGGAGCAACCATCAGGATAGAGTTTTATAGCAGCTAATGATTAAGTGGCAGACGAGTGGATGTAACGTTATGAGTTACCCAAGAGGTGTGAAAAGACATGAAAAGACAACTGGATGTCGGCTACAATTTAAAAGAAAATATTACAAATTTTGGCCCATGCAGACCAGAGACAAATTACATCTGAGGTTAGAGACTGTACATTCTTTAAACTATTGGAACCATCGATGTCAGTTTGTCTGAGCAGTTTTCCTGTAGTTTCTCAACCCAGTCATGAGAATAAATGTTTGAACCATTAGGGCTGGAAATGCTGGCAATGTCTCGATAAACAACACCTAGTTATGGTTGCACAATCACTGCTGAAAATTCGGTTGATGTCTTGCTAAAAAGCACCCAATTATATTGGCACAATCCCTTCTAACAATGCCACCGATATTTCGCCAAAATCTGTTTTGTTGTTCGATGGTCTTGAATAGTGGTCTGCAGTAGGGCTGGATGACATAACAACTATGCATGACATCTTACTATATAATGATGAAAACTCTGGCTGTGGGTGTGTCTGTGTGTGTGTTCCACGTTTTTCTCCTCACTGACTTGGTCAATCCATGTGAAATTTGGCACAGTGGTAGAGGGTCATGGGAGGATGCGAATGAAGCAATATTACATCAATTGGCCAAAGGGGGGCGCTATAGCAACCGATTGCAAACTTTGAATGGGCATATCTCATGCCCCGTATGTTGTAGAGACATGAAACTTTGCACAGAGATGCCTCTCCTCATGAGGAACAAATTTGCCTCAAGAACCCATAACTTCCGGTTATATAGATTTTCCACCATTTTGAATTTTTTGAAAAACACTTCAAATCGATCTCTTCCTAGGAAGTTTGACCAATCTGCATGAAACTCAGTGAACATAATCTAGGGACCAATATCAAAAGTTGGAAAACTTACTAAAACTGAGCTTCTATAAGGCAATGAATATTGCGGAGGGCGTGGCTCATCACATAAAGGTGTATAACATCTCAAGGGTTTCACCGATCACCACGCAACTTTGTAGGCATATAACCACACATAATCTGAGGAGACCCCTCCATTATTGACCCGATCAAACAAAATGGGGGCGCTACAGAGCTAATTTCTTATCTAGGCCTAACCGCCATATCGATTTTTACTAAACTTGGTAGATACGTAGAACAGGACGCCTCAAGGTGACTGGAGAAATGTAACTCTAATTGGCAACCGGGTGACGCTATAACAACAGAAAAATGCTTAAAAATGGCTAAAATGCGACCGATCGCTGTGGCTCCCCCTGTGGCTGAATGTTGTTTTTTTCTAATAATCATGGAAACTGTCAGTGTGTCATTCTGTCAGTCAGTCAGTCATTCTACCAGTGCGCCCCTTTTTTAAGTCAATACAACATATAAACACTAACTATCTGCCTTTCAACATGCTACCTCAACTACTAATGTAAAGTTTTAGCCCACTAACTATCCCACTCTTGGCAATGGTACTACTGTACTTTCAATAAAGCAGTCGTACTATGAAATTCACAAAAACTCTGTCTGAACACATTGCTCTTCTTAATGGGTTCAGTTGACTATTTAATCTGCAATTTCCTATGACCTGTATCCCAAACACACACCATGTGAAACTGTACGTGGGCAACTGTGCACTCAATGGGTATGGACTAGTATTGATATATTTTCAAGCAAGACATAGATTTAAACAATTACTTTAGATCGATATAGGGTCAAGTTGTGTTATGTTCTTCCAAAAAGCCATGCCAGTATGCATCTCTCCTCTCTCACACTCTCGGCACAGCTCTGCCCCACTTACTCACTCACAAGTTCCCCAACAACACTCAGAGAGACACAGAGCTGCTCCCCTGTTAAATGTGGCTTTTAATTAGTCTACAGTGCAACACTGGTTTATATGTTGCACATGTACACTAAATCAGTCTGTGAGATGAATTAAATTACTGCAGTGGCACACATGCAGTACAGCACTGTGCTGCATGAGCTCCGCCAGCTCATTGGCTGGTAATATGCTGGTGTAGAGAGTAGGGGCTGTTTGTCTCAGCCAGCAGCTTAGCTTAAAAGTATTTTAAGATAAGTGCCAAACTAAGTTAGTCTACATACAGACAGCTGTCATTTGAGCTTATTAGTAACAATTCACTATCAGCTGAACTAGCATGCTGTCCTTGTGTAAGACATAACGTTAGTGTCGGTGGATGAGAGGGTGTGGACGGAGCATACTGAATATTGCTGTCTACATGTTTACATGTTCATCCTTGCTGAACACATGTATTGATAAAGTATTGGCTTCTTACTCAATAAGGGTTAATATCCCCACCCCTCAAGAATTCCGGGTAATCTGAAAAGTCCTACCCCCCTACTAGGTACTTTTTTCAGGGAAAGTTTGGTGTTGAGGGAAAGTGTTTATCCCCAGGTAATTTCGCTGGAAACGCACAAGGTTTTTCAAAATCCTGGGTAAATGATAAAAGTTCCTGCGGTGGAAAAGGGGCTATGGAGACAGCACCTGTATGCAGACGACAGATGTGTTTTTAAAAAAAAATGCAGCAACAAAACAGACATTTCATATACAAGATGTATAGAATGAGGACAAAGTGTCTCTCGCAACTTTCCTCACTCTCTGTTGATGATTTATGCATAAATAAGATTAATAACCTAAATAGATAAAAACAATTTAAAATCATTTCCCAGCACTAGATTCATTTGAAAGGCCATGGAAAATGACTTTTAAACTTCCACCAAATAGATTTTTAATTGTGTCAAACTACAATGGATTTAGGCCTACTTGATACTGCAAACCTTTAAACCTCTGTAGCTCCAGTGCTTTGTGCCAAAAGTTGACATACTGCCCTGCTATTTATGTTACGTCATTTTTTATTTACATGTTGTGCAGCTGTATATTTTCAAACAAGGAAAAAAATCCCATTTTCGCATTTTATTTTGATCACAGTCTGTCTTTATAAGAGTGCTTGTGACATCTCAAATGTGGCTTTGATTTGTAACTTAAAGGGGAAGTTCCGTTTTTTACAACCTGGACCTTATTTCTGGCATTAAATGGGTCATTCTTCAACTATGGTCAAATGTGGTCTCAAAAATTTTAGAAAATCAAACACATATTTTAGGTAATATTTTGATATGTTTTGCTTATCCATTATGTGTAGAAACACATTCTGGTAGTTATTGTGATGAAATTATTTAGATAATATATATTTTTTCTCATTTTAGTCGAACAATCAGAGGAAAGCATCATTTCCATCACACCACAAACAATGTGTTTTACAAACAAAATTATTTACAGAACTCATGTTTTAAAAACATTTCATGAAATTTCACATATAAATGATCCCAAATATATAAATATATTCATTTTCAGGATTGTAAGGACAATATTTTTCCATTGTTAAGATGACAAACACCTTTAAACTGTTTTACTGAAGTCTTTCAATGAAGTTCTTTCATGACACAAACATGAGTTTTCCAATCCCAGATATGAATTGCAGCCATAGCTGCATAATTTTCAAAACTACAAAATATTATTAGTGTAACTGTGTTATTTTTATAAATTTTATTTACAAATGTGTGATGTGATGGAAATGACATTGCGTGGTGGAAAAGACAGCACGTGTTGGAAATGACATGTGACAACCAACATTGCTGAACAAAGTTCACTTTTATTATTAAAACAAAGTAACATCAGTCTTAACATTGTAACATTTTATTAATGCACATTTAGATGGTAGACAATTGCTCCTTCCCTGCTCTCTATGTGCTAAAACCTACACACAAAACTACAATACTTCATTTCATGGCAATCAAATTCAGACCATAGGTTTTTCCATCCAAAAAATGTTGAAACGGTAACGATTTGAAACTGACAAAGACTTTCTAATCCAAACACATCATTTAACACAACCTGACTCTTACAGTACACAGTATGTCCTCACATTGTTGGACCTTACTCCCCTCTCATTTTGAGCTGTAGCAGGTCCATGCTGGGCCATGCCAAGCTGGTAGCCTTACCAGCTCATATCATCCCTGTAAAACTTGTTACAGTTCTAGCACACAATAGAAAAATTCATAGTCATAAAATGTCATGTGATTGCTGTAAAACCTGTGTGCTAGCTGCCTTGCACTTTTTATCATATGCATTTTTTAAACTAATACTCTCTCCAATACCAACATTAAATGAATGTTTAACTACGCTAAATCAAACTTTTCAACATACGTATTTTGTAGTTGTTATGCATATGTATATAGCCAATTAACTCACAAACTGTCAGACTTGCATATGGAACCTTGCCTTTATCCGTCATAGTCAAGAGCAGAACATATTTCTGCCCAAACTGTGGGATCCAACATCACATGCCTCTTTGTCACTTGCTGAGGCTCTGGTACCAGTCTGACAACATCTTTAGGTTGATACCAGATCACGTCCTCTCTCATTGGCCAGAAAAAACTGTTTCTGCCAACAAGACTCATGGTTTTCACCAGAGCACAGCTGTCAGAGCCAACATCTTGTATGATGCCTGGATAAGGATCCCCATCATAAGTGACCACACACCATTTTCCAATCAGTCCTTCATGAATGTCTGCAATGGACTGAGCTGTTGTGACAGATGTGCTTGTGGATGCAGGATTCTCAGCGCCAGCCTCCGTGTATACTGTCTGAGGACCAAAACATTTGCAAAGATGGGGTTCTGAGCAGAAGCAGCTTAGAATACGCCAAGATATCTCTCCTGGTCTTGCAGAGACAATCTAGAGAAGCACATGATATTGAAATTACACCACAAGACATGAATTAACATGAATGATTTACACCCATTAAAAAACACCTTTTCTTAAAAAAAAATGATGTGGATGTGGTGAAAAGGGTTTACCTGATGTATCTGCATTGTGCCCCGGATAGTCTGCAGGGCATCAGGAAGGAGACTATCCATTTCCTCAATCTCCTTCTCAGTGACATACATCAGTTTCACAGTAGATGGCTGTTTTGAAAGTTGCTCATACAGCACCCTTCCATTTGGAAGATCAATGCCGTTTGCCACTAGTGAGTCAGCCTGCCTTTTAACAGCTGCACCAATCCCATCAGCTGGGCCTTTGCCATGTCCTGCCTCCAGGAAGTTCCACGTGGTCCTTTTAAATCCCATCTGAAAGGGGATTTTGCTCAAAAAAAAGAAGTTTTTCTTGGACCTATACTGGGTGGTAGGCCCATCACTGATAACATGCAGTGTGGTTACATCTGGGTTCAGTGTTTTAAGGTATGGGAGTACGGTGTTGAGATGAGCCCAGATGGCTGATGGGTCGTGGCGCATTGATGAACTAATAGAACAGAGAGATATCACCCCAGTTTTGGTGTGGGCCACACCTGTATGGAGAGTGGCTTGTTGATGGGAATCACCAAAATGGACTGCTTGGATCTCATTTCCATATTTACACAGATAGTTTTCTGCAAAATCAATTTGCAAGACAATATCATCCCCTCTTATATTTTCTTTCAGGGCCCTCAGAGCAGAATACTGATGTTTGATGTTGAAGATGTGTTTTCCCATCTTTTTTTTAAGTTGTTCTGAAAAATCTTCCAGCAGTGTCTGTACAGTCCCATAGACTTTTTCCTTGGCTGTGAGGTGAACTTTAAACTTTTCTTTTGTTCCATCTTTTTTGGTCTTCTCTCTCTCTTCAACCTTGCTTCTCCATTCAAACCACCAGGTTTGCTCTCCTGCATCAAAAACAGAGGTCAGCAGTTTTTTATCCTTGCAGTCAGGGCACTCCCTGTACATGCACTCCTTTGTTGCATTTGTGCATGCCACAGACTCCATTAGGTCACTGAGTTTTGCACTTTTTATTACTTTGTGATAAAACAGTCTGTCTGCCATAAACTGGAGGTTTGCATGTATTTTACAGAGGCATGTGTCTCTGTCCTTGATTGTTGGTTTAATAATCCAGAAAGGTCGCCTTTTGCAAAACTCGCTGTAAGAGACTGCAACTTCAGGATGCTCCATTTTAAACTTCTGGTGAAGTGTTCTCATGGACTCAACTAGGAAGCGCTTTTGCATTTTTTTTCTTGCTCTTTGTAACTGTCTCCTTCTTTCCTGTTGTTATCCTACTGTTATCATCGCGTTCCAGGAAAGATATTATTTTTTTCTCCACTTCCTTGCTGATTTTGTTGCATTGAATTCTTCGGGTGTACTGGAGTTTGGTAGCCCTTGTTTTGTTTGTTTTCATCAGCTTAGGTGAGAACCCAAACTCCTTTCTGGCAAAGCCGAGCAGGCGGTATTTCTTCAGGAGCTTACCAGCCACAACTTTAGAGATCACTTGCTGGTCTTTAGCAGTGTGCATATTTTGATATTTCTTTTTTATCTGTGAAATAATTGTGTTCTGAAACAAAAGAGTTCTTCTTAAATCTTTTGTTCTTTGCTTCATCTGTTGTTTGGTTTTGAGCTTTGGTGAGTTGGCCATTTCCATTTTCTTCTTAAGTCTGTCACATCTTTTCTTGTATTTCTCCACCTTCCGCAAAGCATCATCAAGCTTCACAGTAGTTGCATAAAGGTCTCTGTAGACCTTTGCCCTAGTCTTTGCAACCCTTTTCCTCCCTCTTCTCTGTGCACAGTTATTATGTGCAGGAAGGTGAGGTGTTTCGGGTGGGTCAGTGGAGCTGGAGTTGGTAGGTGAGACATATTCTGGGTGAACAACCATGTCTTCTGGTGACTGTGGGGGTGTTGATCGAGCCATAAAATTCTCAACTGCAGCTAGTCTTTTCAACATCTTGCGTCTGTTTTGTTGAGAAGTTCTCCATTGTCTTCGAACTTTTCTTTTCTCTCTGTGTGTCATTTCTGTCACAGATTTGACAACCCCTTGCTCTTTTTTTTTTAAGTATCTTTCTCTGTCTCTTTTTAGAAACTCATGGTATTTAACTGGATCTGATTTAAGTCTTTCTCTGTATGCCTTCGATCTCTCTGCTGTGGTCTTTCGTGCCATCCTAAAAGAACAGGTGTCACATTTAAGTATCTATTCTATTCTTGTAGTTTATGTACACAATATGCATTAGTTGATCAAGTGTTTTGTGTGATTATTTAAGTTAATATTATATTAACTTGATATAAGCCAAATAAAAAGCATTCATAACACCATCCTTGTCATTTCCATCACAACACGTCATTTCCATCACAATGAACAAAGTGACCAACCAATAAACATATTCTTTGTTTGGGAAATATTTACCTTGATTTTTTTCAGCTTTCATATTCTTCCAGGGAGCTAGCTCTGCTCTCCTGCCATGTGCTGTCCTGTGACTGACTGTTACCATGGTTACAAGTGTACAGACCTTAAAAAAAAGCTCCCTAAAGTTACATTTTGTGGTGTGTGATGGAAATGACAGTGATCCCAAGGGACAGGTGTTCTTTTTATAAAAAAAAGACATTTAATACTACTGTATCTTACAACACATGGTATGTTTCATTAAAATAGGTATTTATGTACCATTTGTCTGTAAAGTTAGTTTTTAAATCAAAATGTAATTCAATAGTAAGAGGGATTGAATGTCAAAAATCTGACCCAGGGACAAAGGAAGAATAGCACAATCCATACATATAAAACCATGGTTTATGTAGTAAAAATAACACTTGACCTTTAAATTAAATTTTGTATGTTCCTCTTGGTGTCAAGTAACTGTGCCAAAAATAAAAAATCAAGAAATGTGTTTTGTATCTATTATTCCTGCAAAGGACACAAATTCTACTGTAGTTGAAGAATGACCCATATACAATATACAATGAAATTGTTGTAGTGTTATAAATGAAATAAGAATGAGTAGTTATATTGTTTGTTTTGTTTTATAAATAGCCAAATGAGTCCGATCATCAGAGGGAGGAGTTGTACAGTTTAATGGCCACAGGTATGAATGACTTCCTGTGGCGTTCAGTGGTGCATTTAGGAGCAATCAGTCTCTGGCTGAAGGTGCTCCTCTGTTCGACCAGAGTGTTGTGGAGAGGGTGAAAGCCATGCTGAAGTATCGCCCGCACCTTCGACAGCATCCTCCTGTCTGACACTGCTGTCAAAGGGTCCAGCTCCAGCCCCACAACGTTACTGGCCTTTCTGATCAGCTTGTTGAGTCTGTTGGCATCGGCTACTCTCAGTCGGCTGCCCCAGCACACCACAGCAAACAGAATAGCACTGGCCACCACAGACTCATAAAACATCCTCAGCATAGTCCGGCAGATGTTAAAGGAGCAGAGCCTCCTCAGAAAATAGAGGCGGCTCTGTCCCTTCTTGTAAAGGACTTAAGTGTTCTTAGTCCAGTCCAGTTTATTGTCAATGAACACACCCAGATACTTGTAGTGTTCTACGATGTCCACGTTCCAGGATGGAAACTGGGGTCACTGGTGTCCTCGTTCTCCTCAGATCCACCACCAGCTCTTTTGTCTTTGTTGCAGGTGGTTCAGCTCACACCATGAGACAAAGTTATTCACCACAGCCCTGTATTCAGCCTCCTCACCCTTGCTGATACATCCAACTATAGCAGAGTCATCAGAAAACTTCTGAAGATGACAAGACTCTGTCTGGTAGCTGAAGTCCAACTATGTTGCATGTCAGAGGGCCCTCTACTAGGATTTTTTGGTCCCGTGGCGATACGACCGCCACAGAGCTGGTTAGCTTTGCAGAGGGTCCACAGAGTTGGGACTCGGGGAGACTGGTATAGGTCCTATATGGAGCCCACAGGCCAAATTTTGCAAGGTTTGGTCCACTTTTGTGGCAATGGCGAGCACTCAAAGGTCGGAAAAGGCGATCTTTCAAAGCCCCACCCATCGAAAAGTATGGGTCCGATCTGCACCAAACCAATGTCTATCCGCTCGTCCAGGGCCCCCGAACAACATATAAAAAATTCAGACTTCCACGACTTTTACAAAATTGTTTGCTCCAAAACGTCCACCTGGTTCAGAGGGTGTAGATAGCTATAGGTCTTACAGCTCCTGATTAAGAGATTCTGAAACAGGCAAAAACAAATTCTACAGGACTTTGGGTTTTTTTCCCTCTGGATTATTGTTTAGGGGCCCCTGGGGATCCTCTGTTCCGATTCTGGGGTCCGTGGGGTCAAAGGTTGCTGCGTGGCGGCCAAAAAGACACGTTTTATAAAAAGTAGCCCAAAATGAATTTTCTTCCCCTCATTTGAATTGCAAATGGCGGGAAACTATAATGTCTTTAACAACTCATGAACGCTTTGAGCTAGGAGGCTGAAATTCGAGTAGAAGTGTCAAAGGTCACCGTGTGGGGTGTGATCTGGCTTGTGAGGCCTGCTTTTTTAATGCCTTTTTTTCAATAATTCACAAACACTTTGAGCTAGGATGCTGAAATTAGAGTATGCGTATCAGGAGGTCAAAGGCATCGACCGTGCCGAGTTTCAGACCCGTGCACCCTTCTGAAGCCTGCTTTTTTGGAATAATTCACAAATGCTTTGAGGCAGGGGCCTGAAATTTGAGTATGTTCATCGGGAGACCGGGCACATCTGTCGGGAAGGGCTCGGAAGTGAAATATTGTGGTGTGCACACACAGGTCGTAATGCAGTTAGCGAGACTCCCGATGACAGAAACACGTCGCCAGATATGCACATTGAAAAGATCTCAGCGACTTAACCCTTCTAACTCCACGGGTGCGCGGGCGCTCCCACGCGACAGCGTCGGTACTTTGCAGAATATCTCGGGAACCACACAACAAAACTTAATGGGGAAAATTGCTATCACAAGCATACTCTTTGGGTGATCTATGGTGAGATCCCTGCACTGAGCTCCCGTGTTGGTTGGCCATACCTGGCCTGGTAGCTAAGCTAACCAAAGCTAAGCTAACCAAAACAACAATGCCTGCTGTGGTCGATGAGGACAAGATTCTGCTAAAAAAAGCCAATAAAAAGATTGCTGACCTTAAGGATGATATCCGTCGACTTTCTCTTGAGCTGAGGAAGAAGGACTCCCTGCTGTCCAGCTACATGGACGTGGTGGCTAGCCAATCCATAAAGTTGGCCTCGCTCAGCGTAGCCCTCCAGGACACCGTTGCATGGGACCCCTCCATCTGTCCACAGCCCTCCTCTTGTTCCACACCTAACCATGAGTCGCCCTGGACAGAAGTGGCGGTCGGCGGTCGGAAGAGGGACTCGAAAGGCGCTCCTCGCCTGAGTCTCTCCAACCGCTTCGCAGCCTTGTCTGCTGATAACAATCCGGTCCACCCAATTGATGTCCCCCCAGCAGCGGCGGCTCCTCCTCGTCAGGATCTGGACCTGAAACCACTGACTGCCTACACCGCAGATTTCCCTCCACTGCTGGCCGACAGTGCTCAGGTGACT